CAGTGAGCTTGCTCTGCTGATTGTCAATTAAGTTGGAGGGCTGGCGGTCTATTTTAGAGTGATAATTGAAGCGATGGTTGAAGCAAGACACGACGCACTGTCTTGTTATGCTCTGTGATAAATAATCTGCAACGAGTTTGATACTGAATGGTGTAGAAATCAACACAAGCGTTTTCTCTTTTCATGGAACCATAACCCAGCGCTATAGCGGACTTCTCAAACCGCTTCGGGCTTGCGGCCAACAATGCAGTACCTGTAATCATTAGACTCGATATCCTCTCAAAAGGTGAAGTAGGTGAGACTTACGCGGGCCAGTACGCATGGATACTCTTGTCGTTGAAGTCTTTGCGGACTTCCGCAAGGAAGACTTCAACCTCGATCCGACTCCAGTTATGGCCACGGGTCAACGCCGCCATTGAGAATCCCTCCAGCCCTTCCAGCATGTTCGCATTCTCCCAGATGCCGATCTCCTTGTACTTGGGGTCCTTTGGCCAAGAGTTGGTAGGCCACTTCAGCACCGTGATGCTAACGTCAACGAAGCCCGCGGCTGACATGATGTCCTTGAGCGTAGGGCCTCGGACGAAGGGACGACCGAACTTCTCCGACGCCTCCATGAGCAGGTTGCACCATCTCATCAAGGCGCTCTCTGGCTTGAGGGTTCCGTCGTCGGATGTGGCGAAGAGGTCAATCTCTTGCAGTTCGACGTAGCCTCCCGGCTTCAGGTTCCTTTAATTTCGGTCAATCATAGGCGTAGACCATGAGTTAAGGGGGCACGAGACTCACTCGTAGCATTTACGCAGATACACCGACCAATCGCCAATGCTCGATGTCATGACTCGGCTGTGGATGTAGTCGAACGGCAGGGAATAAGTCCACTCATCTTCGAGGTCGTCGATCTCGAACTTGACGTTTGGAGGTACACTGGGTATCGTCAGCTCTCTATTCAGCAGTGGGAGCGACTCCGGCACAGCACGTACAAGCCCGGTTGAATTGGGGACAGATCGGTACCAATGACCTGAGACGCCGTTTAGTAAACACCACGTATAGAACTGGGATTCAACGTACCTCGGCCTCAGGATGTTCGTCTCCGAAGTGCATGGCCCAAATACCCGTGCCAGTCCCGATATCAAGAACTCGGGTGGGTTTGGAGCTTCCCAGGCAAGGTGGAGCAACTCCAAGCCTGTCATCAAGCGAAATCATCCAGATTTGAAACTCCATATCTGGACTCCTACATTAGCACAACACCGAATGGTCTTCTTTCCACTCATCTCACCCAGTCTGTCGCTCTCCCGCTCGTCGTTGGGGAAAATGTATTCTAAGACCATTGTCAGTGCAAGCTATGTCGGCTGATTTCATTCAAACATACTTCCATCTTTGTACCGATGGTAGGTCCTGCCATTTTCCTGGCGGTAGTCGAACAAGGATGGGCGTAGACTCTCAGTTGATGGAGCCAGACTCTACAAGACTATTTGTTAGTGAACTGGGCGAAAGTCGTCTTCGGCCCCAAGAAGCTCAGGACGTGCGACTCCCAAAGATTCGAGGTGAAGCGTACTCTTCCGTCTACCGACTGGCCCTCTTCCTCCTCGGTGTCGTCGGCGGTGAGCACATTTTCAGGGTTGTTTTCAGGCTGAACTTCAGGCTGGACGCCAGCATCTGCTGCCGCAGGCTCGCGGTTTGGCGAGTCAGGCGAACCTGGATTGCTGGGTGGTGCTGCAGACATCGCTCAGATCTTGCGCACGCTGGCCAGTTCGACTGACGCTTGACGATGAAAATGACGGAGATGACGAAGAGGAAGAAGAAGAAACCCGGTTCCCGGAAACCTGTCAGAATAAGGACGCGGGGCAATCACGGCTTTTGTGACGGCTTTTCGATCAGACCATGCAGCGGTCCAAGTAAGACCCCTGCTCTCGGTCCAATGGTACCCTGCGCACACCCAACATGCATGCGCGCTCTCACCGTGAAGAATTGGGGTGGAGCTGCGAATGTGACGTGCGAATGAGAATGTCAACAGGTAAGGGTTGCAGAAGAATACACCTTCACGGCACATCTTTAGTGTGTTCTCTGCAGGGCTCAGATTGCCACGTTCGCAGCAGGCTCCTCTGGGCGGATGATACGCGGCACGGACAGGGTTCGGAGACAGCAACTACCATACCAGGTCTCTGCCGGGCCATAGAACCCCCCATGTTCAGCGCCCAAGCCCTAGGATCGCTTTTGTTATTCGAGTTGCGAATAACTTCGCCAAAGTCCCAAAGTTATCCGAAGTTTGACGTAGCACGAGGGGTGCGCCGCAGAAACCGATTTCTTCTTCTGGATGGAGATGTGGACGCCATTGGCTGCTGCACACAGGGATCAAGGAGTGTCAGCGCTGTAACTAGCAACTTACATAGCACCGATGAACTCTGAATAAGCGTTCATGAACCTTTTGATTATTCGACATTTTTTATCCTCTGAAATAACTGCTCCCAGCAACTTTAGGCCCTACAAAATAAAATGAATACTGTTCCGCAAACATCAAATAGTCAGTTCATAAACTCAGTCACTGCTGGACACGGTGTATCGGAGATGGTTGTTTTTGTAAGAGATGCAATATGTACAGTGAACATGAAGCCTCAGAAATCATGACACAACAAGGCCCGAGAACATGAGATTCCGGCCCGGTCCTTTCCATGTCCATCATTTAGTTAGGGTTGCAGTAGAAGCATCCCATGTTGTTGCTGATGCCAGCGGCCAAGTTGCCACCAGGGTTTCTGAAGATCTGGTGAGAGAAGCGAGTTGCCTCACATGCGTTGCCGCTGTATCGCGAGACATTAGAATTTACACAACCAAACAGGGTCTTTACTATAGAGATATAGCAAGAAACATACCCATAGAAGTCGCACCAGCCACCCGAGTCCGGGCCTACCGAACTGATACGGGAAACCCAGTAAGAGTCGGGGTATATAGCGACGCTAATGGGGTAGCAACCATAGTAGCATTCGCCGCCGAAGTTGTCGAGATCGCACATGTATACGCCCTCGCAAATACGCTTGTTCAAGCTACGGGCGACGTTTGACTCGCCGTCGGACTTGAGCTTGGCGACCTCAGCCTTGAGCTCCTCATAGGGGAGGGGGCCCGCGAGGACGTAAGACTCAGCATCGCCGGAGGGAGCCGGGCTGGGAGCGGCGGCGGCGAAGGTCGCGGAAACGAGAGCGATGAACGAAGAGACACGCATATTGACTGATTTTGATGAGTAAAGTCTTGAAATGTGAAGGCTGAGTTGGGTGACGTAGAGTTGTGATGAGGAGAGTTGAGCTGGGCGGGATGAAGAGCCCGTTATATACGACACAAATGACACCCAGAATTTAGCTTACAATAACTCCACGGCGAAGCTGCAAATGATAATCAGGTCAATGGAAGCGGCAGCTTAGCCCTGGCGACGGTGGCTTTGCGGCTGCTTCCACCAGTATTTGCCAGAAGCAGATGTGGTGATCCACTTGGATTGGGCCATCTCCAGACCTTCAAGAGTTTCGGTGGATTCAGTTGAAGATACAAGGCTTTTCTCGACCATCTAGATGCTGACGAAGGATCAGAATGAAGCCACATCCTTCGAGCGATATCAATAGATGGCAGGGTGCTTTAGAGTTTTGACCCCGGTTTAGAAGGATCTTAACCCACTGAACACGACACGGAGCTTCCTTCCGGTTGTGTCGGCTGCTGCTCAAATACGATAAGGTGCTGAGATAGAAGATATGTGACTGGAGTTGTCGAAAGGCAAAGGGAGCCCAACATCATGTGGATAGGATATCGAATCCATCGCCTCATAGGAAACAAGTTGGCAGGGATGGCCAACGTAGGTGCCTAGAGCCATGGGGATCTCACGACCAGTCACTTGTAAAGCACAGGACATCTCAATCTAGAGAAGGCAATGGTATCCCTGGAGTGGGCATACGCAAAACTACTCTCGGCCCGCTGGGCGGTGAGGGTCCCGGTGGATGACGCCCCGGAGTCGCGTCCGATTGTGAACCTCCCGTGGTGAAGTAATTTGGCACTACGTGTGTCCCTGAGTCTTTGCCCATGTGCCAAACGAAGACTGAAAAGAAACCAAACAACTTTGAATTTGCTTTGATTTGAGACTGCGTCTTCTTACCGAGAGTACCCTCGCATCTGAGAAGGAAGCTTCCCTTGGACTATGTTCAAATGTTCGTTGATTTGTTCAGGGGCGCAGGTAGGCTGTTCTCCGCCATGCTCAGTACCAGGTGGATCAGCGGATGCTTCCTACCCGCATTGATCGAGCCGTACCGGGGCTAACGGATGTGATGTCCGTTTCCTAGGCGGAGCAGTTTGGCAAGCTTGAGCAACCTGGACTTCAGATACGTTTGATATTCATCTTCAAAAAGTACGAAATCGTTTACAACAGTTTCCGGTTCCATCTTGGGATGACTCAATGCTGGCTGTGATTGTGTAAGTATCAACAGCTTCCGCTGCGGCGAGTGTCACGGAATTGGGAATAGACAACTCAATCCCGTCCCCGACCATGAGAATTGATTGAAGTCGTGTAGTTTTTTTTGCCCACGTATTCTTGAAGAATTCAGATCCTGTGGTGCCATCATGATGGCAGCTGAGAAATCTGGGCATGGAGAATGCCGCCGTCATTGTGCATGGTTGGGAGTCGTCTCTACAACGGCCGTTCTAACCGGAGCTCGTATTGCAATATTTGGCTTCTGGGGTGTATCAAAATGCAGATGGTTAAGTTGTACCACTCTGATGATGAACGTCTGTAAACAAGCAAACATTGTTACATCGCACTGCAGTGCTGCAAAACATTGCGCGACACGTCAAATCAGCTGAAAATCAATGACAGTAAAGTTGTGCGGTGCCGAGGAATTTTGTGGGCGTGGGCTTGGTGGAGTGGGCACCGTCGTGTGGGTCGCGTATCGTCGGCTAGCGCCCACAACACGAGGAGTCAGTCATAAGTGACAAATTTGCCACAATCACCATCAAGCAACAAGCTTGAGATATCAGCCCTGATGGTCTAGCGGTATGATTCTCCCTTAGGGTTGTCAGTTGACGATTCAGCATGGGAGAGGTCCCAGGTTCGATCCCTGGTTAGGGCCCAATTCTTTTGCCTTTTGCCCGAACTGGCTCCTATCTTGTTGTGATGGCCTCATTGATGGCCTGGGTTGAGTTTTGGCACGTTTGACGACTGTTGGTGCGGCCGGCCGGCCTGGCCAACAGGGGCTGTGCACCAAGGCAGCAGCAGCAACAGCTTTGCAGGCGGTTATGAGGCCTCTCAGGGCATGTGTTGTCTAACGCGCAAGAAGGGACCGAGGTGGTATTGTGTTGGTTGGGACACTCATCGTCCAATCAGCAAATTGACGCTTTGGACTGGTTATGATGGCTGGCGGTCATATTTTGGGCCAACAAGGACTGCAGATGATGAGACAGGCAGGCAGAGCAGCAACGGCTACTGGTCCAACGAGGCAGATTTCATGCCGGAGGCCGACGAGATCAACATGGCTGTCCACCTGTCCAGAAAGTCGTTCAAAGCTCGGCTTGTCCTCATATTCCGCTGTGCTAAACACTGGCGTATCTTTTCGATCTAGATTTCATTGAGCATCACAGTACAATCTCTACATCTCTGAAGAAAATACTTGCATCATACAGCCACAAGATGGACTGCAACAACTTTCTTGAGTGCCTCCTTGGCCGAGCTCCGATTGCTAAAGATGCGCAGTCTTCAATTGATCAGAAGGCGTCCGGAGTCGTCTCAAAAGAACCAATAAGATCAAGCGAGGAAGCGGCATCCGAGTTCATCGATATCCTCCGAACGGCCGAGAAGGGAGGCAAGGACCTCGAGCGACGGCTCCGAAACATCGTGACGACGAACTCTTGGACCGAGAATCTTGCCAAGTTCATCCTCGGCGGCGTCGAAGGTCTTGTCCGCCACCGTGATACCTTCGGCCAGGTTGTCAAGGAAGCGATGGACAAGTCGGCCGACTTGGCCCAGCAGGTCTTTGGCTTTGTGGAGGAGCACCCTGTCCTCGTCACCATCATTGCCATTGGCATATTGGTCATCATCGCCCCTTGGGTGATCGAGGCGCTGGGTTTTGGCGAACTTGGTCCGATAGCCGGTAATATCGCTTGTTCAAGGCTGGTGGGATGAAGCTGACCTGTGTTAGACACCTTTGCCTCGTGGTGGCAAGCTCGGTATGCAGGATACGTCCCCAAAGGCTCCCTTTTCTCGTTCTTCCAACGCCTCGGCATGACTTGGAGTTGACTCCTTGCTTCAGCGTGGAACATGGTGCGGTTGAGAGCCAGACTGTGATGGCTGGGAAGGAGGATCTGTGAGAGGGGTTCAGACTCTGCTGAGCAATGTCTAGATTCATACAGAAGATCAGACTAAAGCTTGTTGTGGATCATTCATCGACATCTTTAGACTTATCTCGCAGGCCGAGCTGCTGAAAGTTTGCTGGTAGGCCTCCGACTGTATGCAAATGCGTCCAACGTGTTGCCGGCCAGTCTTGACCCCGTGAAGTGTGGCATTACACATTGCATGTGAAAGTCTTCGGTGTTGAGCTACTAGACGGTTAGGTTGTGATAAGCTTCTTATACAGTAGCCCCGTTAGCTATATAACCTGCCATTCCCATATGGCAAACAACTTGAACTGAAGCCCCATGGATGAATCCCAATCGGTTTCATAAACTAAACATACATCGACCTTTGTACCATCATGATTACAATTCTAGGTGTTATGAGGATCATAGTTGCCTTGGTCCCTCTGGTGTTTGCGCTTGTTGGCTTTGTAGTAGGTGCCGGATCTCGAATCGAGGGGAATCACCTCAAACATTCTAATTTGTGCCAGCGCTTGCTGTCTTTATATGAGCCTTTCCAGGCCCTCTCGCCACATGCCCGTCGGATTATCATGGTTATTCTGCGGCAATGAGGCAGACGCATGTCAGAGCAGATGTATAGAAGTACCCAAACACATTCAATGGCAAGAATTATTAGTCGCCCAGACAGAAAATGGAGAGCCGTTTGTTTTCTGTGATGGTGAAAAGGAATCAGAGCATTTAGCACGACTTCCACGGCACAAAATGAGAACAACCGGGCAGGTCTGGGGAGCTCACAGCAGGGAACTGGTGATCTCAAAATTCCCCACAGGTTCAAGCAACCAGGAGCGTACTTGAGCAAACAGACATATCCAAATGTTTCGACCGACTTCCACTCGTGCGGCTGGTTGGGGACGGAAGCTTGATCTTGTCGGCCTCCTGCATGGACACGGCCGCATTGGGCCTCCCCCTGTCCATCACCTCACACCTCACTGCATTCCCCGTTGGCCCGCAATGCGGCCTGCGTCCACCACCGAACCAGATATCATTTCCTATCATAAAAGACTTTTTACACTTTGCCCATGCTCGAATTCGGGAGTGTTGCATCAAGGGATGGTCCTCCGCCCGCGGGCCCTTCAATACTGGCTGACACGCACATAAATACATATATCCTCCTTTCTTCCACTCCACCACATCTCCCGTCGAATTCACCGCAATACTTTTGAACGATACTCAGATCAGTCTGCAACATTTTTCAAAATCGAAGTTGAGCCTCCCGCTCACGTTTTGACATCCAGACACCATGTTGTTGAGTTTCATTGTTGGCCCGGTTCTTGCCGCAATGGGATTTGGTCCACTTGGGCCCATCGCTGGTAAGTAATGCCCGTCCAGTTATGTTTATCCCCAAGACGGAATGTCTAATAGTCATCTCCCAGGCTCTGCTGCAGCCATGATCCAAGCCGTTGTCTATGGCGCTGCTGTTCCTGCCGGGGGTCTCTTCGCCTTCTTGCAGGCTTGGGCCATGACCTGATTCTGGGATGAGTCCCAGACGTCAAGTTGATGGGCTGGATGGTGCGTCGTTTGACTGCCTGTTCCCGAAACTCTAGAGGTTGTGTGATTGTCAAGTGGGGGAGACTGTGGCCATATGCTTTGTCAGGGCGGGTCTGAGGTTGAGACGGACGAAATGTATGTCTCCGACAGCCATGAGGGGATCGTTTGTGTTGTCTCGCTTGTCGGTAGAGGCACCGTCGCGAAATGTCCTCCTCTTTCTCTCAACGACCAATAGAGATGTGTGAGGAGTGAGTTGGCGGAGACAAAACTGCAAGTACCCTGAATTACATCAAGATGATCCTAGAAACTTAGAATGTCCTTTTGAACATGCCTGCAACGTTTTTTATTTATAAGTATGAGGTTTCCCCCAAGCTCAATCAGCTGCGCAAATGGGCAACCAACCATCCAGAATCATCACTCCGCATGGAAAGCCGACCTTCTCTTATCACGCAAACAAGAACAGACTCTGAATATGATGCCCCTGCAAGAAGTAGCGCGCCGCTTGGCGGTCGGAGTGGTAACCGCCATTCTAGCGTCCGAACAGGCTGATCTGGCTGTGTGTCAAAGAATCTCGTATGGCTTACGCCTTGTGTGCTTGACAGTGGGTGAGTTTTGAGTATTACGATGAGTAATTCGAGTACATGCTGAGATATTAGAACGATACCCCGACTTTCCACCCCAGTACTTACATTTGGCTCTCCCGCCTTCCTTCTACTGTGTTATTTGCATTGATCTCTATGTGCTTTATCGCGACAGCCAACGACAACGACAGATGTGCAACAAACACCTTGACGCGCCGTTGGATGTGGTGCTCGAGTAGGAGAAAGGTGGTCCTTGGTTTCGGGACACAAGAGCTCGACGGCAGTTTCACCCAGACAAAAAGCTGTCTCCCAAGCAAGCCAACCCAGTCAACCTTTTCCTTCTCACAATTCCTCGCCTCACAGCCGCAAACAAAAACAAGAAGCTTCTTGCACAACAAAGACTGCACCTCTTTCTCAACACACGATGATCCGGCGAATTCATGAACTTGCTGCCAACTGGGTCCAGGGATGGATATCCAACTTCCTCTTTGGCTCGATTCTCATCGCGATTCCTCTTCGTCTCATCGCTGGTAAGCTTCCTTCTTAAACGTCTGCAAAATTGAGAAAGTATGAGCTGATGATTGCTTAAGGCTCCATCGCCGCTTGGTGGCAGTCTCTGTACGGCGGCTTCGTCCCCACCAAAAGTATCCTCGCGGGGCTTCAGCGCCTGGGCATGATTCTTGAAGCCCTGGGTCCCTTTGCAGGTAAGATCATGACCCTTCACAAACCATTGCCTTGATCCTGGTCATGGAGACTGACGCAGAATCCCAGACATGCTTGGGGTTTGGTTCTTCGACTGGATCGGTGGACTCGTCTCTACCAGCCTCCTCCTCAGCACGATATGACGATTCTTCATGAGCGGTCTCTTTTTCTAAGGCGCGTGGTTGGCGATTGGAGATTAGGGGTGTAATGGTACAGCTAGAGTGGGTGTAATCATCTGCAAATCAAGCTCGTGGTCCGTAAGATGTCTTCTCCATAGCTGAATCAAGTCTTCGTACCAGCTTCTGGAGTCGATGAGGACTCTGTCGAGACCTGAGTGAATGGCCGTGAACGCACTACTGACCATTGACCCATCCCCTCCTCATTGTTCTTTCTAGATTTGCCAAAACCCAAGTCCTCCTTTGCTCCTTCTCACCATCCCTCTCCAAACACAACATTTTCACCAAAACAACTCACACCAGCAACAGACTCACACAACACCAGAATGTCTTCAACCATTCTACCAACCCTCAAGAGATGGATCACGGCCCTCGCCGAGACCTACTTCTGGCTCTTTGCCCTGTACCTCACCATGTGGTTCACGATGGCCTTCGGCAAGATTCTGGTCTGGCTGATCCTGCTGATCCTGGGCTACCGTGACGGCCAAGGTCCGGTCTGCGGTATGTTTTTTGCTCAGAATTCTTGATGGGTTTCCGCGTCGGGAGTTGTGCTGACTTTAATGTGGGTAGGCTCGCCGGCCTGGCTGTTGGATATCTACTTCCCCGAGGAGGAGATCGTCGCGGGCGTTCGGTTCGGAGTCTTCCTGTTCTTCGTTGCTTGCTGGGTCGGCATCTTGTGATGGAATAAGGACACGAAATTCAATGGCGGCTTGGCAATATGGACATGGGGAGGCTCTTGGATGGAGGTAGCAATGGCCGCGGCCTATTTCAACG